TTATCTCAAATTTGTCTATAACTATAGACAAATAGTTAACTATATTGAACATTTTCATTCTCATGGCATTTTTATTCTGTTCAATTATTTTCTTTGGAAAATTCTGTTCTAGAATCACTGGATTGAGTGATGTACACATATGCCTGAATCTATACATAAATTACCATATTGCTTTCCAAAAAGGCTTAAGACATTGTGTATTTGTTTTATAATTATTTCTCTACTACTTGGTGTTCCCTTTAAATGACGTTTCTCTTGACTAACTTAGTAGAAGTCATACATAGGGTTTCCTTTGATTTTCAAATCTTTAATTTCAAGATAGAAAAAGTGTTTCCTTTGCATTTGCCTTTCATTTGTTTCGTGATTGGCTTCCCTCAATTTTGCCTCTTGGATAGTCTGTTTCCTCGATTTTGTGCATGTCGATCTCCCTTGTATGTCTCTGATGGTTCCTCTGATTCCTCCCCCTCCCTAACGCAGGAATCCTGCCTGCTATCCTGAGCCCACTTCTCTTCTCTTCCAGCATTCTCTCTCTGGGTTTCATCTGTCACTCTGAACAGTGCTTCTCAGAAGGTATACTGAGGTCCCTTTCCCAAGAAAAGCCATCTGAGATGCATTGAAAATGCACATCTCCTGTCCTGATGCCAAATATACAGAAGTAGAATCTCCCAGAGTGGGGCCCCTGAATCTGCCTCTTAAACAACTTCCCCAAAGTGATTCTAAGAGTTTGACAATCACTTATGTTGGATTCCAACATTTGTCTCTCCCACATCAGTGTTTCCCTTGCTCTGCCCCAGCTTAGTTCAGCAGCTTTCTGGACCTCTCCAGCCAGATGGCTCCTCATACTCTGCACGGCCTGAGCAGCACTTACCCTGCAGTGCTCCCTGCCTCCCACGAGCACCCAGCACTGCTGCCAGTCCATGCCCTCTGCTGAAAACAGCAGTACCACTGCCCCAGTCTGCAGGCTCCACGAGCACAATTCATTTGACAGTTGTCTCCAAGTTCTTCTTTGAAGGAAATTTCCCTTTTGAAAAAGGTAATGACTGGCCTATTTGTCTGCATGCCACATGATGTCCAGAAAGCATAATTCAACATGACAGATGATCAGTGACAGACAGACGTTGCGCTTCTCGGTGTTTCGCTTTCAGAACCACACCCGAGCAACCAAGCAAGAGATTTCTCAGAGGGCCTGAGAGGACACCATGCATGCCAGCAACAGGAAAAGAGCAGGAGGGTGAACAGAGGTCTCACGCCTCCACACAAAACAGCCAGGAAGCTGTTAACTCTCTTCACTCTCCAAGCCCTACTCTGTGTTCTGGATGCATTTGAAGGGTCTGCCACTGGCACAGCTGTGCTGGGAGGAAGCTTCCTGTGGACTCCTTCCTCCCTCAGGTGCATCTGCCTCCGAAATCCCACAAACCCAGGGTCTTCACACCACCTCAGGCCTTCAAAAATTATTCTGAAAATAATTCAGATAAAGATACAATCAAATCAATGTGCTCCCATTCTAGGCTGTGTTTTCATTTTTAAAAAGGACCCTAGGGAGGGCAGTGCTTAGCCTATTGGAATATATTGATAGTGTTGGGATTTCCAGACCTTGAGTATCCACTTTATAGGATGGAGGGAGAAAAAGAGGGATCCAAGCAGTCTTTCCTCCCTATTACCATCAAATCCACACATTAGTAGGGTATATCCGTGCAAAGACCAGCTCTGTCTTGCAGTTCAGTAAAGGGGTTCTTTGCCATAAAAGTCAAAGCACTTAAAAATTTGTGAATAAATCCATTTTCTCAGTGTATATTCCCAACTCAATATTCTCAAAGTATGTCCCAAAGAAACACCAGTTCCACTGTACATACTATAGCCCTCTTAGAGATTTAGAATGCCTGTTAAAAGTTCTGTGAAATTGTCTAGTAGAGAGACATGTTTGACACTTTAAACCCAATTTTTCCCAAATTTCTTGAGCTTTGACACCTTCTCCCTACTTACTGCTAATTATCATGGCAGGCAACCAGTGTCCTGTCATACACACTTTGATTAAGTCTACAACAGTTTTGTAAAAGTCAAATCCTGTTTCCTTGTTGGCTTATTTCATCAGTTCAGGAAGTTTTCTCTCTTTCCTTGTGTTGACTCTGCCTAACATTTTTAGCTTGAAATTTTATTTCCAAACCAAGGTCATAGTTTACCTAAAATGGAAATAATGCTTGGTGAATTATTTAGCAAAATGCAGCTTCTCTAAAAAGAAAAGTAACATTCTATGACACTACCTCTTTGTTTACTCATTCATCATTCATTCACTTGCTCAACCAGTTTATTCCCAGAAGCACAGGTGGTAAATGTTGCTGATCAAAGGAGGAAAAATTCACTGTGTTTGTGATGAGCCCTATGATGAAAATAAGAATAAAGAAGCCTTATTTCTTTCCTAGCTAAGAACAGGTTGGGAACGTAAGCAGATCAAATAAAGGTCACAGCAAAGCTGGGAGTAGAGTATGAATTTTGGTTGCCAGGTGCCATGCCAATGGGTTTCAGCCCTGGGCAAGTTTGCTACGGATTCAATGTGACCAAAGAAATGACAGTAGAACATTCTTGGGGTGAAAGGGTTATACACAACTTTATTTCCACAGTGGCAGGTCAGTCACTAAAATCTCATTCATTCAGAGTGAGTCTGCATGCAGTAAGTAAGCTGATCTCTGCCTCTGGGCCTCTCTACATGCACAGCCGTCCTCTGTCCTCGGCGCTGCCACACCTCCAGCCTCTGCTCTGCTCTTCTGCAGCCCTGCCACCTTGTTGCCCAGAGCACTGGGCGGAGCTCTTTATAGAGTCAATAGCAACTTATTGCCCACATGTGTGTAGTGAGCTAGCCAACCAGGGCCAGGTGAGAATCCTGGCCGCAGGAACTTTAATTTTATCCACAGAGGTACTCAACTCCAATCAGCTTAAGTAAAAGAAAGAACATGCTGGCTCACAGTAATGAGAAGCCCAAGGAAAATGCTGGCCTCATACACTATTCACCTCCATCTGTGTCTCATCTGCTTCTCTCTTTAGTCATTGCCAGAGCAGACAGGCTTTTTCCCTGAGAGAACAGCATCCCCCAATTCATTCACATCCTTTCAGTAACATGCCCAAAAAGGCAAGGCCCCTGCTCTCTCTCTGGGAGGACTTTCATGCCTCAGACCTGTCCTTGCCTTCCATTCCCAGAACTGCCCCTATGGCCAGGGCCCAGGTGGCCAGCAGCCTGCAGCTTCAAGTTAGCTTCTCTTACAGCCTCACAGGATCCTCAGGGCACCAGTGGAGATGGCACAGCTGATCACATCTCTCATTTCACAAGACACAGACAGTCAAATGGAGGAGGGAATTTCTAAGCAAGCAGCAGAGAGGTTGCATGAAATTTCAGAGTGTAACTCTCAGGGGTCTTTTTGTTTTGTTTTGTTTTCAGGGTGGCAAAGTGAACAGCTCACAAATGTAACTGTATTTTTCTTTTCTTATACTTTTTTTTTCTTTTGCCCTATATTCACCTTTTCCCCTGAGAAAAAGGTAAAACTACTGCTTTTGAGAGAGAAATATCAGTGATGGTATAGCAGGTATGTATTCAAAAATCAGAAAATGTTTCTATTCTACTTGAGGTATTTTTATTACTTTGCTCACTTCCTCCAACTCGTGTCTTAATGTGACACCAAGTGCCATTGAGTTTTGATCTAGTGAGGCACAAAGAAAAATAGTATACATGATGTTGTGAAATTGCTCATTACCACCCAATTTAAAATATATTGCTCTTTAAAAAGAAAAAAATCTTAACATTGCAACCAATCCAGCAATTTTACACACACACAACACTATATGTGTGCATATGCTTGCAGACACCAGGTTTCTTTTAAAATGCATCAAAATTCCTAAGCTTCATTCAGAGTCCTTAGTAAGGATTCTTGAGCTTTGTCTTCCCAGGGCAAATTTGAGAAAGGAGAAAGAAAGAAATCTGTTCTTTTATTTCCTGTCTCTTTAGTCTTAGACACCTTCCCAGCTCTCAAAGTCTACCTTTTCCAGCAAGTCTTCTAGGATTTCCAGAGTCCCTGGAAGGAGGAAAGAAAAAGTGTTTTAATGATGAACTAAATAGGGGCAATTATGAATCCCCATAGTTAACCATAAAAGTTTGTCTCCTTTCCAAGTCATTGGTATGCAAAAAAAAACCAGTCATTTTTTGCATTGGTAGGAGAAAGTGTGTGATAGACATGAGCTCAAACAGGTTTCCACTACTTAAGAGCTGTGTGACTTCAGGGAAGTCATGTAATCTCTCAGGACAGCACTTCTCTTATTGCAAACACCCTGCTAGTTTACTGTGAAACTTAGACAATATGAGGGAGAGCATCAATTACAGGGTCTAGCCTATCCTGGGCCTCCCGTTGGGACAGCTGCTATACATTATTACAGCAGTTTCATTCATTAAACAAATATTTATTGAGTACTTATCATGTAGAAGCCAGTAACACAAAACTAAATTTGAACTGGATTTTGCTCTCAGGGACCTCACAATCTACAAATCGCCACACAATAAGGAAGAAAGTGGTTACCACCAAGAGAAACACAGAGAGACGACTTGGGAAGTTAGGAGAACAGACATTACTTGGAGAATGAAGGGAGTTAGTTGGTGGGAGAGAAAAGGAAATGATTTGGGGCTGAGAGTGAAAGTAGCACGGGACCCGGGCACTTTCACTCCTAATGTGGGTATGCAAGTACCCGTCTGTCCCCTCACAGCTGAAATAATAGAGGTTCAGGGACTCACTCAACTCAGTTACAGCTGAGCCAGGATGCCAGTTCACAACTCCCCACCCCTTATCCTATCCAGGGCGTTCATCACACTATCTCCCATAATGAGGGTCACTTGCAGACGTAGCGGGCAGGGCAGCGGCAGCAAAGAGGGACAGAGTCACTGGCCGCTGCAGATACCCACCGCGGGCGCCCGCAGTCGGGCAGGGGCGAGCCCGCGCGGGAGCGAGTGGGAGCGCGTCAGGGGGCGGGGAGCGCGGCGGGGACGCGGGCCGCCGTGCGCCCCGTCCGCGGCCCGGGCCCCGCTGCGAGAGCTCGCGCTCAGGCTCGCCGGCCATGCGGCTCCCGGCGCTGCTGGCGCTCCTGCTCCTGCGGCCGCTGACAGAGGCGCTGCGCGGGGGGCGCTGCCCCGAGCCGTGCAGCTGCCTGCCTCGCGGCGCCCTGCGCTGCCCCGGCCCGCGCGCCGGCCTCGCCAGACTGTGAGTACGGCGCCCCCGCCTGGGACCCTCGCTCGCTCCGGGACACCTTGCCTCCCTATTCTTTGCTCCCCTTTATCTGGAAGCTTGGAGAAAACGCTTCGCCATATCGAACGCCACCACCTTCTGGGATGAGGAGGAACCAAAGCTTAGGACTCTGCCGTCGGTGCCCCGCGCTTTGGTTTGGCTCTGCCCGCTGGCGCGCCCTCCAGACCCTGGCGGCCCCACGCCCGCTCTTTCTCCCTACCTGGGGCTGAGGCAAGGGGAGTAGAACTGCCCAGAAGCCACAGGGAAGGCCTTACTCCCTGAGGCTGAGGGAAGGAAACACGTATGATGCTCCTCAGTCAGCGGCTCTCTGCCCAGAGAAGTCTTGCGTGGTCTTTGACGCATGCGCCCACCAGACTGGCGAAGGTTACAGTGAGCTCTGGCACCCTGTGGTCCTCTAGGAATGGGGTTTTCAGGCTCCACAGCAAGGGGTGCACCGGGTCACTCACTGTGAACTGCTGGAGGGCTGCCTCCCACAACCAGTGCCCACCTACACCTTAGCATGTAGGCCACTGCTCCACCCCTGCCCCAGATGTACTTGCGTTCCCATCTAGATGTCTAATCAACGGAAGGCCTTGTGTCCCACCCCCTGCAGACCAGCGCAGCCTCTGCAAGCACAGATGGTTAAGGGAATTGTATGGAGGGCGTTGTTTGCTGAAGTGATGGGGTGAAGAGGAAAAGGGGGCACTTAGTACCAGTATATCAGAGTGTCACCAGGTCTCTTTTCTTGCATTTAGAGAAAGGTACCACACATTAAATCTGTTTATATAAAATGTCCAGTTAGAAAGTAGCAGAGTAGTCAACAGGTTGGGGTAAAGGCCTGGTGGCTGCTAATGGGTGCTGCTTTTTGTGGTGATGAAATTATCTAAAATTAGATTGTGGTGATGGTTTCACAATCCCATGAACACATTAAAAACCATTGCACTGTACATGGTGAATTTTAAGGTATATGAATTTACATCTCAGTAAAGCTGTTTAAAAAAAAAAGAAAGAAAGAATACCATAAAAGTATCCAAAAGGCACCAGGCTGGCTGAGGTCTTGGTTATGGTTTAACCATTAGAGGTGATAGAAGGTTATGTTCTTCTATGCGGTGGGAAGAAAGAGAGCTCCCCATTTCCCTGGGCTCCTGCAGCCTGTCAGGAGCCCACTTCATGGAGGGAACTGCCCCTTCCTCCTGAGACTCTCCCTTGGAAGAGTTACTAGGCTTCAGGGAACATTTGCGGTTGAGGACACAGTTTAAAGGTTGAGGGGTTTATATTAATTAGTTTCTATTAATTATCTAGTCAGCTCAGTTCCCTGAATGTGAGGACCATGCTGATAGAATTGGTTTCAATCAAAAAAATCAGTGGAACCTGTCTTCCAAGTCCAAGCCTTTGTCCTTCCCTGACACGCCTCCCATCTTGATCTTATGAATGACTGTGCCACTAACAGCCTTTCTCATTTGCCTGGAACTTAATATACAGATTACAAGAACCTGAGATCCAAAGAAATGGAATAACCTGCCCAAGATCCCACAGCTATTGAGTAGAAAAGATAGGACTTTATCTGTTGATTATCTTTTTATATTTGCTTGTCTCTGTAAGAAGATTACCAGCTTCATCAAAGTTGGCACTAAGTGGAGGTCTCCCTGGGGGGAGGCAGGAATGAATGAGCCAAGTCCCAGCTTCTTTCAGATTCAGGTCTCTTTTCAACTGAGACCTCTCAGTAGTGCCTGCTGCCACCCCATGTTGGCCCCAGGAGAGTACCTCTTACCTGGAGAAGGCTTAAGTGAAAAGAGCAAAACAAAACAAATTGCCTCACTGCCCCACAGCACAGTTCAAAGAAGTCTAGAACCCCCTCAATAAGATTTGATAGGGCTGACTAGGTTTGGGGGTGGAGGTGGGAAGCAGGCACAATATAAGTACTGTTCACATCCAGAAAGGAGCTAGATGTCTAGGTTGTGAAGCCCTTTGCTATTCCCACAGGGATTCTGAAGAATCTCTGATGACTCCTTTATTGGGCACTATCTTGGCATCCAGACCAGGAGCGTCCTCTCCTAGAGCTTTAGACCTCTTAGGTCAGCAAGCATGCTGACCCTCACAAGGGGATCACAAAGGGATTCCTGAGGATCAGATAACTAGAGATGACCTCATCCCAATCTACTGAATCAAACTCTGAGGATGTGGTCCAGCAACAAGCTCCCCAGGTGATTCTGAAGCACGCTTAAGTTTGAGAACCCAGGTATTGCTCTCCATGGATGATAAATCTTCTGGAAAGTAAGAAGTGTGTTTTAAACTTCCTTGTGCCATATACTTATCCCCTCCTCTCCACACAGACATACAGATACACATACCTGTTTATTGCAAAAGACAATTATGATCAAATTAAAACCCCAAACTCTGAGACATGTGGAAAAGAAACAAAACTGAGAAAAGTTTCATTTTGTTTTGTTTTGCTTGTCTTCAGAGAGGAAAAAGGAATCTGTGGAGAAGAACAGACTAAAGATACAGGGGATGGAGAGGAATGGTATTTGATGGAGTAAGATCTCAGTAAGGGTGGGCAGAGAGCATCAGTCTCAANCTTGTTTTAATGCAGGGTGTGTGGGGGGGTGGGGTTGGGGGAGAGTAAAAGAAAAAAAAACTGATTTTAAAATTTTCCTTTTCCTTTTCTTATTAGTTCCAGACAACTGCAATGAGGGAGAAAGAAAAAAAATCTCACCTTACCCATGGTTATATAAAGATCTTTATCTCTATGACAACAGAAAAGTTGATCTGCTTGATATGGAAACAGCTTCTGAAAATCTGTTAATAAGAAAATGCTAATAATAATAATGGCAATTTATTTTTGCATGTTGTGCCTACTGAGCAGAGATTAAACTTTTAGACTTTATTGTTTAGACACAATTCAGAGACTCTGCAAGGATAAAATGTGCTGTATCCATTAGTCTAATGTCACAGGAAGATGTTAGTCTCCTGACATCATTCCTGAATGTCTTTCTCCTTCTCCCACCTGCAGTGGAAATCAGGGTCCAGAACAGTGTTAAATGCTGTAGAGGGATTTACAGGTGGAGGGCATGGTCCTTGCCCTCGAGGAGCCCACAATCTAGGTGGAAACACACCTGTGAGACTGGTACAGGCAGGGAGAGAGTCAACAAAGCTCTAAGGAATTCAGGGTTTGAACCATGAAGGAGAGAAGGGAAGAGGAGTCCAAGCGGAAAAACTACAGGTTAGAATAGGCTAGAGAGTCATGCTGAAAAGCAAAGAATAAAGTTGAATGAATTCCTCCCTTTTTATGCCTCTCCCAGACTCTTTTTCTTTTTAAGGGAATTTTTTTAAGGGAAAATACAAAATCATCAGAAATATTTGATTAAGTTACCCAGTGGGTTTTACAAAAAGAAAAATCACAGTATATAGTTCTTTACCCGTAAACTTTCAAGGTCATTCTTGGACAGTTGATTACAAAGGCATTAAGTAAAAATCATGATTTGGAGTTACTTAAACATGATGCTTTCCCTAATGTCCCCTCCCTTCCATACACAGTTCTTGCTTTGATACTTTGTACTTTTATTTTGCACATACCCCACTATAATGTAACTATCTGATGGGTGCCTCTTTTGTTAGACCAGGTTTTTCAACCTCAGCACAATTGACTTTTGGGGCCAGAAAAATCATTTGTTGTAGAGTGATTTTGTACCAAGATGTTCAGTGGTATCCCTGGCCTCTACCCACTAAGTGCCAAATTATGTCAATCAAAAATGTCTCTAGACATTTGCCAGATGCTCCCTAGAAGGGAAAATTCCACCATCATCACCTCCTTGGTTTGGATTCATTGTGCTAAAGTAAGAACCACTTGAGGAGGTCTTCCTCAATTCAGGATTCCCAGAATGTCACAGATAGTATAATTAAAGTGTTATTGAGCTATATGATAATCAAACTGAGTAGATACCTGAATACAAACAATGAGCCAATGCAAAAGGAAGCACATATGTTAGTTAGCATGTACCACATCTAAATGTCATTTTTAAAATCTCCATCCTAGAGAATGGGAAGGTGAGGAGATGCTAGGGGTAGTAGAGGCAGTTCTTTGTGTAATGTCAACATCCAGGTCCCAGATTTTGCAGACCCCCCACTCTGTGCTTTGAATGGGCCATAGCAAACATTATCAGTTTCAGAGAAGACTGGAAACTTACCTATATTAGTATATCCCATCCAGATTGTTTTAATTTTTGTTTATTTTTTAAACTCACTCATTAGAGAAAAATTGATCCTCAGCCCAGTGTCCATTAAAACAAAACAAAACCACCACCAAGGCGGCATGAATTGAGACCAATGGCTTCCTAGTCCAGGATACCAGGTAAGCATCCACAGGGCCGAGAGAAGCCTACCAAGCTCTTGCAAGTAGGCCAGCTTGGCCCTACGCTCAGCTTCCCTGCAACTGGGCCAGACCAAAAACATGTCAGAATTCTGAAAGCTTGCATCTCACTTCCCAACCCAACCCCCTCCCCAAACAAAGCAAAGGCCCAAGGCAGAGGTTGATCTTGAACCTCAGTTATAACTCAGCTCTCCTTGCAATAATTTAGGGCAATTCTTAAGCCTGGCTGTGCCTATAAATGGATTTCTTGGGGAAAGCTTTGCAAGGACCAGATTTTTTTCATTTAGAAGTCATTCTTTTGGGGAAAGTGAATTATGGATGCTAAAAAGCAAGCAACTAAGTTCCCAAAACCTCAGTGGAACTGTTGAGTCCAAAAGGTTCACACACAGATCCCTTTGGCACTGGACCCAGCTCCCCCCTTGCAGAGCAGTAATTCCTTGGGTTTTTTTCTGTCCGATTTTTTTATTCCTAAAGCAGTAATTCAGATTAATTTAGGGCTCTAGTTCTATGCCTTTATCCACCTCTTTTTCCCGAGCCCCTTAATTTGGCTTCTTTTCATGTGTTAAAAGGAGGCACAAAAGCTTTCTTTCTAAAATATAATCTCCCA